TTCAAAAGTAAATAGACCCTATCATGAGTTTCAGACAATCCCGTTTCAACCAATTTGATTGAAAGATCACTAAGACCCTTCAAATTCCAAAACCTTTCATCTCCTGTAACAGAACAAATGTAACTATCAAGTGTATGACCAAAGACTATCAATTCTGAACTTGGAAATTCATTAGGATAGAATTTTGCAAGCTTAATCAATTTTTCCTTATCAAACTTAGAAAAACGATCCACAGGACTCAAACAAGACATACACACAAGTAGTTCTTTAGTTATTTCGGGAAATCGATTTTCAAGTTCTTGCAATTGAAGATCAATGACACCAAAAAAAACTTCAACTCGAAAATGATGTAGATTAGACACTTGTGGGCATTTACCTCTAAACAACCTCCTCCCGGGAACAACATATTTAGCCTCCATATCTGGAACTGCAATGTCATAGTCACCAATAAAAGAAATTACCTTTTCCATATGAGAATCCCATCCTTCATCTCTCATTTTTTGCAAATTAGTCTTGGTTACATTAACCATGGCCATTGCATTCACAATGTCTTGATCGTGCTTTTGTAAGGCCACATTCAAAGCATTTGTTATCGCAAATATACTAACCATCAAGTGTGCCACGAACACAAAATCAAAGGACATTAGAAGATTTGTAAGTGTTTGAGCTCTATTAGAATCTATTGTATCAGATACTTTTGCAATATCCTCAAGAGAACCAAGGATTACAGGGAATAAATCAAGTACATTCAAGATTGTCTTGAAGTGAGATCCCCAACGAGTATCACAAGGTCTACCTAATCCACGTTCTTGATTTAAACCTGAACCCGTTTCAAGTTCACCTAGAGACAATGCATCCACCACTCTTTGAGCTTGATTTTCACGAAGAAACTCTTTCCTTTTTGGTGAACCCCCCACAAAATTCAAGAGAGGTGCAAGTACATCAACAAATAACCAAGCACAATCTGAATTCTTTTTAGCAAGTGCAACTTGAGTTAATTGAAGTTGGTGAGCAAAGCAGTGGACAAAATAAGCTTCTTTACACTCATTCTCTATAAGAGTCCTAAGGCCATTAATAGAACCTTGCATATTACTTGCCCCATCATAACCCTGACCCCGTACTTGAGAGAAAGACAAAGAATGCTCCATTAATAAGGATTCAATAGCAGTTTTGAGAGTCAAAGAAGCAGTGTTTACAACATGCACAATACCAAGTAAACGCTCACACACTTCTCCCTTTCTATTAACATATCTCAAACAAAGAGCCAATTGTTCCTTGTCAGAAACATCAGCGGACTCATCAGCAAGGATAGAAAATAAACCACCATCAATATCTTCAAGCATTGCTTTAGTGGTCTCTTTTGCACATGCATTTATGATATCTTTTTGGACTTTAGGAGAAGTAAGTTGACAATTACTAGGAGCATTTTTGAAAACAACTTTAGAATATTCAGGATTACCTTTGGAAATAAGGGATAAAAGTGAAAGAAAGTTACCTCTTCTTAAGGAACTTTCTTTTTCATCATGACCACGGAAAGGCAACCCTTGGAGTAAAAGTCATTGGATAGATTCAATTGAAGCTTCAAGTCGCGTCCTATATGCATTTGTACTCTCAGCGGTTTGTTTTGTTAAGGCTTGTGTGATGATTGAATTTTGTTTCTTGAACAAATCCATAGCTAAAACAGCATTATTATGTGCACTCAAGTGTTTACCGACACGTTTTCTTATTAAATCCGATCGATTCCATGATTTGAAACCATCACTAACAAAAGCATCACCTCCAAAGGCATTTTCATCCTTGAATAGATAACAAGGGAAACAATAGGAAGCATCCTTTTCCACACTATACTCAAGCCAAGTCCAAGTATCAAACCACTTAGCACAAAAGCGACAATTTTTGCCAAAAATAGAAGTTTGAGGAAATGTAAAGTCTTTGGGCTGACAAGGCTTTCTTTGAATGTAAATTCTTCTCACTAAATCTCTATCATCTTTATGAAATTGACTCATTTTTCTCCTCTTTCCTGGATCTTGTGGAAGATTAGCAAATTCATGTTCACTTAATCTTTCTCCAAAGATTGGGGCATTAGGAGAACATTGGCCTTGTTCATTTTGAGGGGAATTTTGAGTTGAATAATGAGATGGAGATGAAAGTTGCTCACTTTCTTGAGGTGGAGTTATAGTTTGTTCATTTTGTGTTGGATGTGGAAGAGAAGTTGGAGTAGGTTTTTTTTTAGCAAAGAAGCTAGTAATGTTTTGCATTTCATTTGGAGTATGTTTTCTCTTCATTCTGAAATTTGAATAAATATTGAACTAAATCAAGCAATATTCCCCAGAAAAATTATTTGAATAAATATTCAACTAAATGGTCTAAATCAAGCAATTTCACATAATGACATAATGACATAAACATATTACACAAAACACAATTACACAAAACAGATTTCACATAAGTAATAACTAATAAGTTTAAGAGATTTCAATTACACAAAACACAATTACACAAAACAGATTTCACATAAGTAATAACTAATAAGTTCAAGAGATTTCAATTACACAAAACACAATTACACAATTACACAAAACAGATTTCACAAAAAAAATCAATTGATGATTAGTTGATTACCTACCTTGCTAGGCAGTCGGCAGTCGGCAGCACTCAAGTCTCCAGTGGCGTAAGTTTTGGGTGTAAGTACCGGGCAACTTTCTTGGCTTTCTCAATGGCACAAACTTTGCTCCGATAGCCAAGGAAATAGGGGGACCAAAGATAAAACCTCTTGCTTCAATGCCTAGCAAAACAAAACTTCCAGTTGAGCAACACAAGACAAAAAAGTTAACTCTAAGGTTTGTGGATAGCTGTAATAACTGTTCTGAGAAAAGACCAATTTACAGTATATATGATAAAATATGATGTAAAAAGTGCAAACATGAATCAAGACTTTACTTAAAAACCTACATACTTAAGGTCACCATCCACAAACATATTACCAGTGATATTCTAGCTATCCTGAAGCTAAATTTGTTGGGGAATCTAGATAGTAAACATTAAACTCTCTTCCCCTTTATCTCTAAAATGAATAGCATGATTTATGGCAGCTTAAATTGGCTCGACTAAGAGAAATCTCGTACAAAAATGTGGATACCAGATAATAGCAAGATCTAACCAAGAAGGCTGATAATTTATGATCATTTGATAAGATGATACCCACTGAGTTCTGCAGTGACATCCTCAAAGCATAAAATACAAATATGAGCAAGTAGATTGTAGATAGAAACAGGCAACAGGGTTTCTCCTGATCACAGGAGCAGGAGTGTAATTAACAGATAAGCAAAGAAAGAGACAGAAACTGCTGTTTATGCACATGCGACAGCAATAACCACATCAGACAACCACATTTCATCATCCAGCTTAGCAAATCAGTTGTTACAACAATAACAAAGATCAATAGTCTTTAATAGCTCAATTATGAACGGGCCGATGCAATAAAAGACAACATAATGAATAGGAAAGAATAAAAGCAGCTAAGCCACTGAAAGATATTCAAAATAGGAGTAAGTAGATCACTCGACTTTAAGCCAAGAGCCAAAGGGAATCAAAGAACAAAATAAATTCAGCAATCAGCAGCACAACCAACAGTAAAATAACAAATCAACCAAAGTTTAAACCAAAGTTTAATAAAATTAACAAATTAGACTGAATTAATTTGAAGATTAGAAATTAAAAATAAAAATTAGAAATCAACTTACTAGCACCGACGTTTCGAGTAGCGATTTCACGAAGAGGACGGAGTCCACGAGTCACGACCACCGAGTCACCGACGTCCGACTACCAGGCGATTAGGCGAAGAGAACGGTGGCTGCCTGGCGAAGCGAAGAGGCGAAGTCACGAAGAGAAGAATGGAGATGAGCGAAGAGGCGAAGTCACGCGAAGTCACGAACAGAAGAATGGAGATGAGGCGATTAAGAATGGAGGCGATTAGGCAGAGAAGGCGAAGTCACGAAGAGAAGAATGGAGGCGATTAGGCGGAGAAGGCGAAGTCACGAAGAGCACGAAGAGGCTAGGGCTTGAAAGCCTTGAAGTCTCCTCTAACTGATTTTAATTTTTTTTTTTTTTTAAAAATAACTTAAAATTTTTTTTTGGGCCTGGTGAGTCACTTGACCCACCAGGTCTAAGCTCAAGTCCGCCACTGGATACATCCATACAAGTTTAAAGGCTAATTATTTGAAAGAAAAATAAAAAAAAGGCTAATTATTTAACTTTATGATAAGGTAATTAAATTGTATAAACCGGTTAGTCTAGTATTGGGGTTACAAACAAAATTTAGTTCTTTATTGGATAATTTTCTTAATATGTAATGAAACTTTATACATATAACTGCTTTTTTGCCATACATAAATAATTGTCATATGCGTGCGATTTAAATATTAAACATTTTATGTGATTTTTTTTTTTTTTATTGAGATTTGTTGTAGAATTATTAAATATGTTATTGCAACTTGTCAGCATACTCGATAACTTAGAAATTAGCTCTGTTCCGTAAGTTTATCGAAATGCACTTCTAGCATTTTAGATTTTAAAAACCTGGCCTTATGTTTGGTAAATACTGTATAGAAGTTCTGCCTAATATATAGTAGTAAATTTACTTTGTTTTGATATCAATTGACCAAACCCCTGTATTATCATGAAACAGAAACACATTCTGTTTTTTTTTTTACTAAAAATCTAGGACGTATGATATTTTAACTACTTTATGTAATAAAAGTGTCAGTAAGCCACTCTTAATTGCCATTACAGAAGACAGATACAATAAAAACCATTAATTTTGTGTACATGAAAGAGCACCATCAACATTGACAAATACAGCATGAGCTATTTCAAATTAGAATATGAAATATTACAATAAGCAATAATTTAAAATGAAACATTACTATGTGACATAGTCCATATATTTGCAGTTTAGTGCTCAAGGAATGTAATCTAATGAGAATTTATTTTCTTGGTGATCATTCAGAAATGATAATGGAGGATATGTGTTGAATCTTCGGCCAATCATTTCCAGTTGGATTTTGACATTTTTCCTTCAAGCCTTGCTTACAATAACTCAGATCAAGTAGCTTCAGATTGGTGAGGCTCCTCATTGTTTCTGGCAATGAATCGAACTCCAAACAACACTTAACCCGAAGGGACTTGAGAGATGATAAACAGCCTATCCATTCTGGTAAAGCCTTAAATTCCTGAGAACGTTCAATGGTGAGGTCCTGAAGGGCGGACAAGTACTGCATCCCACTAGGAAGAAGGCTCATGCTTTCAACTCCCCAAAGCTCTAAGGAACGGAGGCTCTGATGAAGGGCTCTCCAAGGCATGCCATCGTCTTCATTGCTGTCATCCTCCTCGGAGAAGGTTAAAACTGGACATTGAATTACTGAAAGAGACTCTAGGACAGTGAGGTACTCTAACCCTTGAGAAACACTCCTCAAGTTCTCACAACCTTGGATTGTAAGCCTACGCAAAGAAGAGGAGCAGCTTCTAAATGCCTCCTTAGCTTGGGATAATCTCTCCACCTTATGATCCCATGTTATGCTGAGGCTTGTGACAGAGCTCATTGACAGTGACTTTAGGATAGCCAATATTCTCGAAAACATTTACCTTTCTCAGTGCTGAAGGGCGATTATGATTATTGTAATCATCGACGACATCCCTAAACTCCATTATTTTGAAGTTTTCATCAAGATTGCCCAAGCTCAGTGTTTTCACCCCCGGACATGGAGGAAATGACTCTAGTTTAGAGCACTCCAAGATTGACAATTTGAAAAGGCGCTTAAATGATGGTTGCCAACAGCTACCATCCGCAGCAATAAGCTGTTGATGTTGATCACCTTCCCACCACCCTTTCAGCATGGAACTATAGCTTATGCTGAGCTCTTCGAGGGAGGGAAAGAAAGTGAAATCACTGCTGCTGCTTCTGCCATTTGTTTCCTCCATATAAACTAAATTGTACATACTTGATACTCTCAGCAACTTCAGGTACTGCAGCTTGCTGAGCAACGAGAGATGTTGCAACCCCATGGCAGATTCGATCTCTATCTTGATAAGGTTTGGGAGACTGGATATCCACCTTGTAAAACTCGTACCTTGATAATACCACAATCCTACCCCTTTGAGATTAGAATGTGGCTGTAATTTTTCTAGCAAATCTTCATGATTGATTGCTTGTTCATCACCATACTCATGGCCTCGAAACTTTATAGATACTTCCTTAAGATGTTCCATGCTCGCTAAATATCCTCCTCTTCCTTTAAGGATTTGATTGTCGTTGACATCTTTATACTCTGCAGGGATCGAGATGCTAATCGAGCCTCTTAGATTTGAGAGAGCTTTCAGATCTCTTAACGTGCCCACATTTTGCTCACCGCTATTTGAACTGTCATCTTCACTCGAACTTTCCTCCTCATCACTTACGCTCTCTTCTGCTACTTGAAAGTGAGTGAGAACATGAAGACATGTCAATTTATCCATGCCTAAAGGCATAGACCACACCGCACAGGAATTAATATTTAAGCTCCTAAGGTTCACCAGTTTATATATATCCCATGGCAGCTGTTCTAAATTAGTGCAACCATCTAGATTCAGAGTTTGCAGGTTGTGTAGTTTAGTGATTGAATTTGGAAGTCTTCTAAGATGATTATGAGAGAGATCAAGATACCTTAAATGCAATAATTTACTTATCGATTCTGGCAAACTATCAATGTTTAACTCATGCAAGTCTACTGCCCTTAGACACATCCAACTTGATACAAGATTTTCTAGTGGTGGAAATGAGCGATCAAAAATGCCATGAATAAAAGAACGAATTCTACTCTTAGGAAAAGAGCTTTCACGACATTCACTTCCAATATGATGTAAATGTAGGACATTATTCTCGACCATGTTATTATCTGCAGTAGAATCCACTACACATATCTCCTGTGCTCCAACATCTAAAAGACTATGGACTTTACAAGACACAACCTCGCCATATTCATCCAATTTCACAGGTTGCAGCAAACATCTGATTAACAATATTGAAAAGTATTCTTCAGCAGCATCCACCATGCTCTGACCATCAAGTGGCACAACATATCCTTGCGCCATCCACAGCTCGAGCAACATCTTTTTATCAATGATAAAATCCTTAGGGAACATTGCACAATAACTCAAGCAACTCTTCAATCGAGTTTCTAGATTATTAGGGATAAGATTATGTGTCAATGGAGTCCTATTATCTTCATCATTTGTGGCTAATGCGTGCTCTTCAGACAAACCCAATTTGTTAATATCCTGACTAAATATAACAATACCTAGCTCTTTTATAGCAGGAGGAAACCCCTCACACTTTTCAACTATTTCAGCTAATTCAGGGTGGATTACATGTTTTTGCCCTTTCCCAAAAGAAGTCATCTCTAACAAAAGCCATGAATTCTCCTTGGACAAACCTTTCAACTCATATGTATGTTCGCTCCTTATAGCCCTCGTAGTATCATTCGAGCATGTAGTAACTATAATCCGACTCCCCCCTACACTGAACATTAAAAACTTTCTTAAAGCAACCCACTCTTCTTGATCCTTACCACTAACATCATCTAGAACAATCAAGTATTTCTTCCCTCTAAGCTCTTCTGTAAGTTCTATGCTCAATAAATCATCAGTATCTGTATAAAACCGTCCTGCAGCCTCTAAAATTTTCCCAAGAATCTCATTCGCGTTGAGTTTACCTCCATCTCCATTTGAGACTTGAACCCACAATCTCAACGAAAACTCATCTCTTACCCTTTGATCATTATATACAAGTTGAGCAAGAGCGGTTTTCCCCATTCCCCGAACTCCCTCAATTGTAATGAAAGAAACATCATCTTTCAAATTATTAGTATCCAACAACAGCAAATCTATTACAGCATTCATGTCATCCTTCCTCCCAACAATCTCATTATTTCTGACATTTATACGAGAACGAATGTCACACTCACCCCCCATAATAAGCTGATAATCAACTTCAAACCCAGTATTACCATGACAAATACAAGTACAACTACTGTTACCCAACTGATTCCTTATACTCTTAACACACTGAGACATTCTGCTATCAGAAAAGAAATCGCGTACCTTATCAGGAAGTTTATTGTTACGTTGGAAGCGGCCCTTAGTCTGAGCAGCCACTGTAAGTATTTCATCAAACAAATCATCAGCATCACAAACAGCATCCTTGAGCTTCTGAACTACAACTCAGATCTACCAGTGTATATATAATGAGCTCAACCAGCTACTGTTAGTAAATCTACCTTTGTTTATTGCGTATTACTTCATTAATTTTGGTTCATTTTCAAATTGGATCACGTATATATATATATTCATCTGTCTCAAAAACGAAAAAAAAAAATCTCAATTATTATTCTTGGCTACATTTGTCATTATTTTAATGTTTTCAAAATTATCCGTTGGTCTCATGTACCGTTTTTCTTTCTCCTACCAATCAATCACCACTTTCTTCTCTAAATTTGATTTTATATTGGTACATCTTATTGGTAGTATAAAAGTTAATGACATGGTAGTATAAAAGTTAATGACATACTAATCTGTAAGTCTTGGTCTTGATTTAATGAAATTAATATACTAAAGTACTCCAAGTTGGAGTTGGTAGTATAAAAGTTAATGACATACTAATCTGTAAGTCTTGGTCTTAATTTAATGAGATTAATATACTAAAGTACTCCAAGTTGGAGACAGAGGAACGGTAAAGTATTGATAAAAGGGCATACAAGCTTGCCTTCTTTCATTGATTGAGTGATTGAGTCAATATATAACACAAGATAATATCTAAAAATATGATAGAATCAAAGGATTTACACAATAATCTCACAACTTATTCAACTCCTATAATTAAGTAATTAATCTCAAAGATGTATCTTCCCAAATATTCTCTAAATCTTCATAATAATCCTAACACCCCCCTCAAGTTGGAGCATGAGGAGTGAAAATGCCCAACTTGTGAAGTAAATAGTCAAACTGCGACTTGCCGAGAGAGAGCCTTGGTGAATACATCGGCCAATTGTGCATTTGTAGGAACATAGGAGGGATCAATCAAACCATCAATTATAGTATCACGAACAAAATGACACTCAACTTGTATATGTTTTGATCGTTCATGAAAACAGGATTCTTAGCCACAATATGGAAAGTTGATTGACTGTCACAAAACAGTTTAATAGCCTTTGGATGATGCACACCAAACTTGATAAAAGACCATTCAACCACTTTAATTCACAAGTGACTCGAGCGATATTCTACCTCTACTGAAGAGTGAGAAACAATGTTTTGTTTCTTAGTCTTCCATGAGATGGGGGAATGACCAATAACACAAGCCAACCAGTTAATGATCTACACATAATGGGGCACGCGGCCCAATTAGAATCACACCAACTTTGCAGGGTTAAAATCACTATCAGCTCGTATAAGAATTCCCTGTCCAGGAATTCCCTCTAATATCATACGACCCTTAGTGCCGCTTCCTAGTGTTTAGCTCGAGGTTGTTTCATAAATTGAGATAAGATATGAACCGAATAAGCAAGATCCGGTCGAGTGACTTCGAGATAAATGAGCTTACCAACAAGCCTTCGATAGATTTCGGGATCAGAAAGAATATCACCACTAGCTAACCCAAGCTTGTGGTTTTGTTCGATAGGATAATCAACAAGTTTAGCACGTAGCAATCCAACTTCCATTAACACAAAAATAAACCAACAGAGCTACGAGCAACTTCAAAAATATATCAGAGACCCAAAATCTCTCATAAAAAAACAATCACTGAGATATGCTTTGAATACCCTTAATGCAGCGGAATTATTTCCAGAAATAATGAGATCATTAATATAAACAAGTACATTTATCTGTATAGCTCTGCTAGTAAAAATGAATAGAGCATAATCTATCTGAATACGGTTGAAAAAAACAATACTCTTTCAAAGCAAACACAAGTTTGGAAAACAACATCTAGGTGCTTGTTTTAGGCCATAAAAGGATTTACGGAGGCGACATACCTTATTTGGGTGAGATGATTCAAAGCTAGGCGGATATTTTATGTACACCTCCTCATTAAGATCCCCGTGTAAAGGCATTTTGTATATCTATAGACACCTAAAAATGTCTCCCCAACACCAAACCTGGTGATGTATAATCTTTTACGATCATATTGGTCGAGTAGCCGCACGCAGCGGGTTGAATAATCACATTAATATTCCTTTCCAGCCCAATTCATTTCCTTTCACAAATCCATTCATCAAACCCAACCATTTTTCCTTAATTAATGTTGAACCCAATCCATTAATTAAGCCCTTTCATTAATTAATCCTAAACCCAAACCATCCTAAACCCTAAACTAATCCTAGAGGAATTAGGAGATTTTAATTAGCCGTCATTAATCTTTTCCGTACATTAATTTACCATAAGTCGGCTAAAAACTATTTCAAGGAGCAAATTCTATCATTTAGCCGCTGTCGCAAAACGGTAGAGGTTGTCACAAAATGGCAATGCTACTGCAAAACGGCAAGCCATAACGTTTTGCGGTGCATGCTGACGTGGCGCGACACATTTGTAGGATAATTTCTCCCAGTTTACATACGGTTTCTGTCGCAAAACGACGCTGCTGACGTGTCGCAATAATCTGCACTGTTTTGTGACATATCCTGCCGTTTTGTGGCAATTCACTTTTCACATGCTTTGATCTAAACTCAAACTTCTCGACCACGACACTTTTTCCCCTATAATACCCGGCTATTTGTTAATTCGAGAACACCAATTCATATTCCAAGATTCACATCACAAACACCGTTACGATATCTTTGAAGCATCAAACACTTTCACGATTATTCCTTCACGTGTTTCGAAGTCCCTAAGCCATACTCGAAGTTTAAGACCTAGATGTGAAAGGTTTGAAATTTCTGAAGGTTTGGATCATCAATCTCAATTTTAATTATTTAATTACTTGTTTCAATTGATTTATATTTTGCCTTCAAGTTACTAACGCTCTATTATTTTGTAGAAAAAGGTCTCGACTTTGAAGTAAGTGCTTCTAATAATTGATTTGAATTTTTATTAGAATCGCATGCTTAAGATAACACGTTTTGTTTGATTATTAGTAACATGCTAGGATTTTATTAATCTTATTGGTATCATGCCTAGGATCTTGCTAATAATGATATTGATATGACGATGTTCTCATGGCTATGTTACTTCTAATATTTATGCTTTATTGCTTGCTTGAAATCACCATTTTGCATGTTTTACAAGAATATGTAATTGAAAATCACGCCTAACAAGATAATTTGGACAACCGGTTTTGGTACCTTTTAATCTTATTATTAATTCAAGTGGTCGTGATTCGTAGTAATTAATAATAGTTGTGCATTGATATTCAACCAACTTAGCTTAATCCTAGTTTGGAGTGGATCAAACAAATTGTTTGCATGTTATTTAGGAAGCGATTAACAAATGTCGTGGTTTGCTTCATAACGCAACTTCATACCATCATCTCTGAATATCCAAGCCAGTCATGGTTCGCAACCACTGTAGAGTTAGCAATCTCATAGATTGTAAATATGGTGTAATCTTCATAATTTATGAACGGTTTACAAGTTCCTAAAACTTGTTGGCGACTCTCTACTTCCTTCATTCTTCATACAATGTCGAATCCCACTTCCTACGATAGCCGGCATTCTCACAACATGTACATGTAGGTACACTTCACACGACGCCTAAAACATCCATCTAATGTAGCACCCAATTTTTAGAAGCTACAATTGCAAGAAAGGCTCATACAGTAACCATTTTAGTCACATGAGCAAATGTTTCCGAGTAATCAATCTCTTCCCTTTGATGGTTGTCGAAGACAACTAATCTGGATTTTAACCGTTCAATGCTTCCATTGAAATTATATTTGATCCGATACACTCATTGACTACTAAGAGCACGTTTACCGGGAGGAAGATATTCCATAGTCCATGTGCCATTATTTTCTAGTGTCTGAATTTCCTTTTTCATTGACTCTCTCCAACCTACATCTTTCATAACCTCTCTAAAAGATCGTGGCTCTTTATTAGAAGTAATGGCTGCAATAAACTTTCGGTAATGCAAAGAATAAGTATCATAATTTATATAATGTGCTATAGGATAAGGAGTGCCTAAGAGATGCTTTGGAGACGAAGTGTTAGGAGATGTAGAAGATGGACCATATGTAAAAATTGAGTGTGTCACATAGTCGCGTAAAAGAACTGACGGAATCTTATCCCTCATGTCACGGCCTAGCTCAATGATATGTGAAGAATCGAGCTGTTATGTATTACTTGCAGGAGACGAGAACGATGTTGCAGGCTGCTCCGCACCTCCCTGTGGCAGCGTCTGTTCGCTGCGGGGTACCCGCGGAGCCTACTGCCTGACTGTGGGTGCATTGCCTTTGTGTGGTCTGCCCGAGCTGGGCAGTGGCGTCTACTGATGTGTCATAGGTGGCAGCAGGCTCTGCAGTGGCGTCACCTCCAACATCTACTCTTATGCCCACCGACCTCTTCTTCTGCATTATTACGCACAATTATTGATTCCTCTAGTGTGTTTTCATAATTATAAGAAATGAAATCATCAAAATCATAGTCCACCTCCATATTAATTAGAATTAAGTTTTCCGGAAGTATATTCGATGAGTTCGGGTCAAGAAAAGGAAACACATCCTCAAAAATCTTCACATCACGAGAGACGAAAAATTCTTATGCATCAAGATCAACCCTTTCTTTCCGAAGGGATACCCAACAAAAACACACTTTCTGCTTCGACTTGCAAATTTATCTCCTTTCGCTTTTATATTATGAGAATAACAAAGACGACCGAACGTGCGAATGGTGTTATAAGAGGGAGAAGTGCCAAATAAAATTTTATATGGGGTTTTATTGTTCAACAAGGGAAAAAGAGTAGGACTAATTGAACAACAGCAATAACACTCTCCCCCAAAAATAAATCAAATTTGCTTGAAATCTCAAAAATGTCCCCACATTCACGATATGTTTGTGTTTTCTCCCAACCTACCCATGTTGTTGAGGAGTACCAACAAATGAGGTTTAGAACAAAATACCCATGGCAAAAAAAAAAAAAAAAAATCAAATAAACAATTAAATGCAGTTCCATTATCACTTTGAACCACTTTAATTGTTTGAGAAAATTGTTGGTCAACCATTGCAACAAAGGACATAGACATACGAAACACTTCATTTTTATCGATGAGCAAATAAACCCAAATGGCACGAGAGAAGTCATCTACAATAGTATCGAGCTCCACAAGAAGAGGGATGCCTATAGGATCCCCACAAATCACAATTTATCTTCTCAAATATCCGGGATGCCTTACTCTCACTTAAAGAAAAATTGTCTCGAGGGTGTTTAGCACGAAAACAAACCTTGCAGGCTTTATTTAAACTACCCTTACAATTACCAACCAGAGGAAGAAGCTTTACCACTTTTCTGACGGATGCCCCATTCTTTTGTGCCACAACTCTAAAGTGGAATAAGAGTCGTTCACTGAGACAAGTTGTATTAAAGTTGAGTCATTGAAGTAGTATAGTCCATCTTGCCTAACACTCGTTCTAATGAACTCCCTCGACTGGCCTTGTATAACACACATAGAATAATTAAATTGGACAGTACATTGCATTTCATCAATCAATTGTGAAACTAAAACTAAATTACAACTCAATTGTGGAACAAAAAGAACATTTTGTAGAATAATTGTTGTTGACAAACGAATGAAACCCTCCTTAGTTGCTACTCTTACTAGCACTGATTTACCATTCAGCAGCCCAACTGGACAATGTATTACTTCGTGAGTATCAAACAACCACGAATCATGACAAGTGACATGTCTAGATGCCCTGGTGTCGATGATCCATCTATCTCTTGGTATCAAACTTATCATTCAATCTATTATTGTGAAAATTTGTGTTGCCAATAAGACCCACAAGAGCCTCCCATTATTCTTCTGAAAAAACATGAGAATAGTCATTATTTGTGCTACTCGTATCCCTTGCTCCAAACTCTGTTGTAGTCAAGTTAATTTTAGATTGTTCTTGATAATTGACCATTTTCATGATTTAGAATTAACTCGTGAAAGTCTAACTGGCTAATACAAGAGGGGGGGGTGAATTGTATTTGAGGTGAAGTCTAAAAACTTTTTGCGGAATTTAACTAAATAGAACAATGACAAGAGAAGATATAGGCTTTTCCAAATTTCCACTATGTAATCAAACTCTTTACAAGTGAAAATTCAAACCCGTTAACAAGTTCCACAAATTAAGAACTTGTTCCCAACTCTTACAGAAGACTTCAACAGCGAAGCTTCCTTAACCTCACCTTACAAAAACTCACAATCCCAAACCCAAAAGTACTTGAATACAATCTGTAATTACAAATACCTATTACACTCAAGAATAAATGAAGGACAAGAACTCTCTTTATGTTATAAGATTACTACTGGAATTTTAATGCTCAAGAGTTGTATTTTGCAATCAATATACTTGGTTTATATAGAGAATTTTAATCCTAAACTTCCACACTAACCACTAACACAGTCAACACCCACTATCAATTAGTGGAGAATTGTGACAGTGATCAAGATATTGGAAGTTTCTTAAACTTCTCCATTATCCACATTAACAGCTAATTGCTAAAGAATAGCTCATGAAAACCGTTTACTGAGATATTCATGCAACAACAAAACGATTTGTTTGACTCTTTAAAATATTCTGTTTAGAAGAATTTAAAGAAAAGATTTTATTTTGAAAAGATAATTTATAAATTAATTAATTATTGAAAAACAACTAAGATAATTAAATAAGATTAATTATCTTTATTCGAAAATAGAAGACTAGATAAAATATTTATAAATTATCTTTTCCTTAAATAAAAATTATCTTTTAAAACTAATTTTATTCCAGTAGTCTTTAACATAAATCATTGAGTTCCTTTCCAAACTTATATTATTGAGTGCTCACAATTAAAACTAGAACGTGAAATTTGCATGAGGCTTTTTAGAGAATGCTACTCCGCATCCCTTGAATCAAGTTCCTACTCCGGAACGAACTTTGCTTGAACCCTTTAATCACCAAAGACTTAAAACGCTCATTAGTCAAGTTTCTCAGTTTGTCCATCAAAACCAAAAGGGTCAACAAATTCCCCCTTTTTGATGATGACAAACACTAACAAACTTTGGTAAATAAAAAATGTCCAAGCATGCAATAGAAATTTTAAAAAACATGAAAATCTGTAAAAACAGATTAATTAAAGAACTTAGAAAAATACTTTAATGTTTTTATTTAAGTAAACCAAAAAGACTGAGCAAAAATTAACAGGGACTTTATTAACTCAACAAATCAAATAAAAAAAATTAACTAGGACTAAGACTTTATTAAATTAACTTAACTTAGCAAAACATTTATACCTTCGATGTGTGAGTTCCTTGGTAAACACCTTAGCCGCCAATGAAGTTTGTCTTTTCCCCCTTTTGGCATTATCAAAAGATTGAAAAAATATTTTGTTATACTCCCACTAGACTACGTAGGGAATAGTGAGCTCAAATAATGCAAGGCAAAAATAAGTTAGGCATCAAAATATCAACAAACACACACAGTCATATGTAAAACAAGAGCCAAGTTTCGATTAAGGAAATGAAAATGAACAGAGAGAATGTATCAAAACATAGCTTACAAACCGAAAGTCAAATAAAATATACTAAACCAAAAGAAAAGTGTTCAAAATATTAAATCAGAAAAAGTGCAATCAAGGTGTTAAAAGGCTGCTGAGTGAGTTGGATCATGGACTGGATTGGTAGGATTAAGGGAGTCTTCCTCTACTTCCTCGAAAGCTACTTTGATGATTGTTTCCAAGATCTCCTTGTTGCCTTCAGTGAACTTTCCTTCAGCCTTTACAAGCTTCTCCTCCACCCCTACAAAGCCTGTGGCCTGAGATTCTGCCAGAGCTTGTAGCTGGCCTTGAAGAGAGGTCATTTGCTTGGCCATGTCCTCCAGCTTGTTGCTGACCATTGTAGTCAGCTTCTCCATCTATGCTTTCACCTGTTGAAGATAAAAAAACAGACACATTTGTTCCAGAGAAGGCAGCAAAGCCTGTAGGCTGTGATGGAGGAAAAGCTGGAGAAGGAGAAGTTTTTTTTGGAGGTGAAACATGAATGGAAGAAGGGTCATCTTGTGTTGGAGGGGAATTATGAATAGAAGAAGGCTCAGAAGCAAAAGGAACTTGAGTAGGGGTAAAATCAGGGTCAGAGTGGTCTGAAGAACTAATGTCTTCAATTATCACAGGCTTTGGAGTAGAAACGGTAGGTTTGACAATTTTCCTCTTACTCCTTCTGAGTTCCCCCTTAAAAACAGGAACAAAAGGGAATTCAAGACTCTCAGTCTCTGAACTAGGTTCCCTCTCACTCTGAGTCTCCTCTCCTTTCTCAGGTTCTGCCTCCTGTGCTTCCCCCTCAGAAATTTCTTCCTCTTCTTTGTCTCCCTCACTGTTTTCTTTACTCTCTTCTTCTTCTGATTCACTTCCCTCCTCTTCTGATGCACTTGTATCTCCCTCTATAACTTGTGTTTTTCCCTTCCCTCTATTTTTCTCCTCTCTACCTCTAGACAAGAAAGAAATTGTCCCACTCTCAAGTTTAAGGCTCAGGCGAAGCAAAGATTGTTCTGAAAGGATGTTTTAAGGTTTAATATAAGTGGGTGACTCACTCTCAACATCAATCCCAAATGACTTAAACAACACAGTAAGAAGAGACCCATATGGAATAGTCGTTTTAACAGCATAAAAGAGCAAATGTTCAATCATCAATTTCGGAAAATTTATTTTTATTTTACGAGCAAGGCAAAAGATGATAGTTGCATCTAGTAAAGATATTGTGCTTCGTTCTTGCAAACGGGGTACAATACCTCTCCAAGTGAAATTGAACAATAATTTGTGAAGAGGAGAGAGTATGTTATGATGTGAGGTCTTGCTTTTCGGGTTTCCACCTATAAATTTGATTATTCTATTCTCATCATAATGCCCAATTTGCACAATTTGTTTATGCTTCAAGTACGAACTATAGCCAGAGGTGGGGACTTGATACAAATTCCCTAAGTATGCAACATCAAATTGAATATGAGTATCTTTGACTATAGCCGTGCATACACCATTGTTGTGTTTGAAAGTGTTTTTAAACTCAAACAGAAGCTTAGGATAAAGGGGATAGTGACAACAATTTTGGAACAAATGCACCCATTCTTGATAATCAATTAAGGAGGTGAATTCGGAGAACTTACTTGATGTACACCAGTCATAATTGATATGATAGCCGTGAGTGTAGTTCCAAGATGGAAAATTTTGAGAGTTTCGCCTCTTCCTGTCGCCTCCTTTCGTGGTTATAGCCTTCCTCTTTGGCGGAGCAGATGGGTGAACGACGGCGATTGGGACTGGTTCAGGTGAGCCGTCAGTGGATGGAGGTTTGGATGGAGGGGTTCGTGCTTTTGGTGGTTTCAGTGTTGAGTTGAGGTTAGTTTTCATTGTTATGGTGATGCGTAAAAGGGAAGGAGAAGATGAATAGTGAGGAGAGAGAGTGAGCCGGTTATGATGAGGGTTTATGGAGAAGTTAATTTGATGTGATTGGTGAGGGTGGAGTCTGAAACAAGAATAGTTTAAATGGGGAAGGGTTAGGAAAAGTGACGGTTAATATGGTGAGGTAGTGGGGTAGTTTTAGAGATAGTGGGAGTTAATTGGGTGAATTAATTGCACTTATCTAATTCAATTTAAATGAACACAAAGAGAAAAATTACGGAAGTTAAGGAGTTGTTCATGTACATTCTCCTTATCTTTCATAACAAACAATAATAAATCTTTTTGTATTTTTGAATTTTGTGAATAAGAAAACATAATAGAACATAGAAAAATAAGGAAGGAAAGATAAGAATAAAATAAAAGATAAAAATAAGGAAGGAATAAAAGGAAAAAAATAAAAAATAAAATAAAGTTAATAGATATATACAGATTGATCGTAAATTATGAAAATAATTTATGTGATCATAATACAGAGTATAAAGGATAATGAAAGGGAACTTGAAACAGCATGGCTCAATATTTAACATATTAACAGTATGTACGAGTGACTTTTCAATACTTTCACAAATCTTTCCCCTGGGTAATTTCAGCTGTGTTATGCACACAAGATTGAGCATAGCATTGTTAGTTAAACTCGATTTTACCTTAGGGGTTCCAAACAAAAATCACTTTAGCCGTAGCATTCCCAATTCCACACGCATCTTTTCAAACTTGTCTCTGCTTAAAGGCTTAGTCAATATATCAGCAATTTGACATTCAGTAGAAATAAAACCTAGCCTAATTAAGCCCTTTTCAACGTTATCTTTCAAAAAGTGATGCCTTACATGTATATGCTTGACTTTAGAATGTTGAACTGGATCTTTAGAGATACAAATGGCACTTGTATTATCACAATGAATAGGAATGCAATCTAAAACAATGCCAAATTCACGCAACTGTTGTTTTATCCAAAGCAATTGAGAGCAACATGCAGCAGCAGCCACATATTCTGCTTCAGCAGTGGATAGAACAACAGTGTTTTGTTTCTTAGAACTCCAAGAAACCATGCAAGAGCCTAAGAATTGGACCATACCTGATGTGCTTTTACGGTTTACTAAATGTCCTGCATAATCAGCATCAGCATATCCTCTTAGGTCAAACAAATCACTTTTTGGATAAAACAGACACAAATCTTCTGTCCCGTTTAAGTATCGTAGTATTCTTTTGACGGCTGTTAGATGCGATTCCTTTGGATCCGATTGAAATCTTGCACAAAGACCTACACTGAAAGAAATGTCAGGTCTACTAGCAGCTAAATATAACAAGGAACCAATCATACCTCTGTATTTTGTTTGGTCCACATGAGTTCCCTTGGGGTCTTGGTCCAACCTTGTGGTTGTTCCCATGGGAGTGTGGTTGATCTTTGTGCTTTCCATACTGTATTTTTTCAATAATTCCTTTACATATTTCTGTTGATGAATCAGTATTCCTTTGTCAGTTTGTTTAATTTGGAGCCCAAGGAAGAAGTTGAGTTCCCCCATCATGCTCATCTCAAACTCACTTCTCATTAAATCAGCAAAGTACTTGCACAAAGATTCATTAGTTGCACCAAAAATAATATCATCAACATAAATTTGCACAACTAATAAATGAGTTCCTTTTGATTTTAAAAACAAAGTTTTATCAACTTTTCCTCTTTTGAAATCATTATGTAAAAGGAACTTAGAAAGTCTTTCATACCATGCTCTTGGAGCTTGTTTTAATCCATACAGTGCTTTATCAAGTTTAAAAACATGGTTTGGAAAGTTTGGATCCTCAAATCCAGGTGGTTGTTCAACATAGACGTCTTCTTTTAAAAATCCATTTAAAAAAGCACATTTAACGTCCATTTGATAAAGTTTAAAACCCATAAATGCAGCAAATGCAATTAAAATACGAATTGCTTCTAATCTAGCTACAGGAGCAAAAGTCTCCTCAAAATCGATACCTTACTGTTGGTTGTAGCCTTTGACAACCAATCTTGCCTTGTTCCTCATAATTGTGTGTTCATCTAGCTTATTCCTGTACACCCATTTGAGACCAATAACTTTCTGATTTGTTGGTTTGGGTTCAAGATGCCATACTTTGTTTCTTTTGAATTCATTGAGTTTCTCTTGCATGGCTACAATCCAGTCAGTATCTTCTAAGGCTTCCTTGTGATTTCGAGGTTCCAGTGTTGACAAGAAGGCGTTGAATGCACAAAAGTTTCTCAGTTGGGATCTCGTCGGAGTTCCCTTGCTTAGGTCACTTATAATTTTATCCAGGGGGTGTGACCTTTGATGTTTCCATGGCTTTGGCTGGAATGATTGAGCTGGGATAAAAGTGTTCTTTTGAGTTGCTCCTTCTTCCATTTCCTCATAGTGTTCTGCTTCTGCATTTGCTTCACCTTCTACGTTTTCTGCTTCTTCTGTATTTTGAACAGGAGCTTCAGCATTATTTGGAACTTCAGCATGTTCCTGTTCAGCATTTTCAGTAACTCGAGTAGGTTGCTTTCTGGGAATTAATTCTTCATCTTGGTCTGTTGAACAAGTGAGACCAATTTCAAAATCTCCATCTTCATATTCCTGTATACAATCATAATTGTTAGTTTCATCAAAAATAACATGTATAATTTAGTTCTTTATTGGATAATTTTCTTAATATGTAATGAAACTTTATACATATAACTGCTTTTTTGCCATACATAAATAATTGTCATATGCGTGCGATTTAAATATTAAACATTTTATGTGATTTTTTTTTTTTTTATTGAGATTTGTTGTAGAATTATTAAATATGTTATTGCAACTTGTCAGCATACTCGATAACTTAGAAATTAGCTCTGTTCCGTAAGTTTATCGAAATGCACTTCTAGCATTTTAGATTTTAAAAACCTGGCCTTATGTTTGGTAAATACTGTATAGAAGTTCTGCCTAATATATAGTAGTAAATTTACTTTGTTTTGATATCAATTGACCAAACCCCTGTATTATCATGAAACAGAAACACATTCTGTTTTTTTTTTTACTAAAAATCTAGGACGTATGATATTTTAACTACTTTATGTAATAAAAGTGTCAGTAAGCCACTCTTAATTGCCATTACAGAAGACAGATACAATAAAAACCATTAATTTTGTGTACATGAAAGAGCACCATCAACATTGACAAATACAGCATGAGCTATTTCAAATTAGAATATGAAATATTACAATAAGCAATAATTTAAAATGAAACATTACTATGTGACATAGTCCATATATTTGCAGTTTAGTGCTCAAGGAATGTAATCTAATGAGAATTTATTTTCTTGGTGATCATTCAGAAATGATAATGGAGGATATGTGTTGAATCTTCGGCCAATCATTTCCAGTTGGATTTTGACATTTTTCCTTCAAGCCTTGCTTACAATAACTCAGATCAAGTAGCTTCAGATTGGTGAGGCTCCTCATTGTTTCTGGCAATGAATCGAACTCCAAACAACACTTAACCCGAAGGGACTTGAGAGATGATAAACAGCCTATCCATTCTGGTAAAGCCTTAAATTCCTGAGAACGTTCAATGGTGAGGTCCTGAAGGGCGGACAAGTACTGCATCCCACTAGGAAGAAGGCTCATGCTTTCAACTCCCCAAAGCTCTAAGGAACGGAGGCTCTGATGAAGGGCTCTCCAAGGCATGCCATCGTCTTCATTGCTGTCATCCTCCTCGGAGAAGGTTAAAACTGGACATTGAATTACTGAAAGAGACTCTAGGACAGTGAGGTACTCTAACCCTTGAGAAACACTCCTCAAGTTCTCACAACCTTGGATTGTAAGCCTACGCAAAGAAGAGGAGCAGCTTCTAAATGCCTCCTTAGCTTGGGATAATCTCTCCACCTTATGATCCCATGTTATGCTGAGGCTTGTGACAGAGCTCATTGACAGTGACTTTAGGATAGCCAATATTCTCGAAAACATTTACCTTTCTCAGTGCTGAAGGGCGATTATGATTATTGTAATCATCGACGACATCCCTAAACTCCATTATTTTGAAGTTTTCATCAAGATTGCCCAAGCTCAGTGTTTTCACCCCCGGACATGGAGGAAATGACTCTAGTTTAGAGCACTCCAAGATTGACAATTTGAAAAGGCGCTTAAATGATGGTTGCCAACAGCTACCATCCGCAGCAATAAGCTGTTGATGTTGATCACCTTCCCACCACCCTTTCAGCATGGAACTATAGCTTATGCTGAGCTCTTCGAGGGAGGGAAAGAAAGTGAAATCACTGCTGCTGCTTCTGCCATTTGTTTCCTCCATATAAACTAAATTGTACATACTTGATACTCTCAGCAACTTCAGGTACTGCAGCTTGCTGAGCAACGAGAGATGTTGCAACCCCATGGCAGATTCGATCTCTATCTTGATAAGGTTTGGGAGACTGGATATCCACCTTGTAAAACTCGTACCTTGATAATACCACAATCCTACCCCTTTGAGATTAGAATGTGGCTGTAATTTTTCTAGCAAATCTTCATGATTGATTGCTTGTTCATCACCATACTCATGGCCTCGAAACTTTATAGATACTTCCTTAAGATGTTCCATGCTCGCTAAATATCCTCCTCTTCCTTTAAGGATTTGATTGTCGTTGACATCTTTATACTCTGCAGGGATCGAGATGCTAATCGAGCCTCTTAGATTTGAGAGAGCTTTCAGATCTCTTAACGTGCCCACATTTTGCTCACCGCTATTTGAACTGTCATCTTCACTCGAACTTTCCTCCTCATCACTTACGCTCTCTTCTGCTACTTGAAAGTGAGTGAGAACATGAAGACATGTCAATTTATCCATGCCTAAAGGCATAGACCACACCGCACAGGAATTAATATTTAAGCTCCTAAGGTTCACCAGTTTATATATATCCCATGGCAGCTGTTCTAAATTAGTGCAACCATCTAGATTCAGAGTTTGCAG